TCCGGTGGATAGCGCTATCCAACGTTTGAACAACCAGAAACAGGTCCCAGCTGTTCAAAAGATGGATAATACTATCCACTGGATAAATCTTCATCCACTGAATAGCGCAATTGGTTTCCCTAAACTTATTCCCTGAATAGTCATTTATCTGGCCCCAGTTGTTCAACAGGTGGATGCGCTATCCACCGGATAAATCTCTATCTACTAGACAGTGCAATTGGTTTCCCTAATACTTATCCACAGTATAGAGATTTATGCGATGGATAGCTCTATCGAGCTTTTGAACAATTGGGGCTGGGCCTCAGTTGTTCAAAGGCTGGATAGCGCTATCCACCGACGTTTGAACAATGGGGCAGGTTTTCCAAAAGAGCAAAACATAATCAATAAATTTACTGCAAGGGTATCTGATAAGAAGCCTCAAGTGGAAGTCTGATGAAATGACAAATTCTCTTTCAAACAGGCCTCTTGTGTGAAACAGAGAGAGGGAGAGAATTAAGGTCTTGATCAATGTCCCTTCACCACTTGACCACTCAATCAAGCTGACGGTAAAAAGGCCAAGAAAAATAACTCACACTTTCTCTACTTAAATAATCGAATTTATTCTTGTAAAATAGCTTTGTGAAACGGTTAATTAAAGAGACTTTAAATTCTCGATAGATTTACATGGAAATTTACTGATAAGTGAAGATTAACAATCATATTTCGTACGGTTTCAGTAAAGACTACGTAAAAAAATCTGATCTAGAACCATTATAACAAGAAGGTAATCCAAGATGGAAGAAAATATTGAAGCATAAAGGTCAACACACCCTACCTACAAACAGTTTTGTCAAAAGCAAAATGTTTGACCTGTATGAAGCGAGTTTTCCGTCTATAACTCTATTATTTTGCTGGAATATCTGCGTGAAATTTTTACACGTAAGCAACAGTGCAGTAGTGTCGAGTCCTCTCTCTCGTCAGTCGAAATATATTTTTTAATTTTACTACACATCATTATTCAAACTATCCCATCCTTATGCTCTGAATGATCTGAAATATCGCTGTGAAAAAGAAGGAAAACAGCAGTTAACTTAAGGGAGAAATTTTTGCGCCGTTAGATGGTTACCAGAAGTCGTAAAATTCATGAAAGCCTGCCAAAAGCCTATCACCAACGCGAAGTTCGCGACTGAATATTTGACTTTTCAATTGCTCACCTGATCCACACACGACGAAAATAAATAATCCAAGAAGAATAGGTCCAACTGGATACTTTTCCTCTTGTGGTTTCTAAAACAATACAGAAAGATCGTCAAAAATAGCCAAAAAGAATTAAACGTTTCATGTTCCAATAAGAAGTAGATTTGCGTCGTTTTCTAAACGGCGTACACGAAGCTTCGAGGCAGTTTCAAACCGGCCTTACCAATGATTTAGGAACATTTCCTCTCGTCAAAACGTTCTGGCTGTGTTTCTCGTTAGCAACACGCATTCTCTGTTTGGCTGGCATTTTAGAAGAAGGAGTTCTGATCAGTCGAAAATTGCTTCAATCACTCGTAGATCCCAACCACAACAAAGCAAGCTTGTAAAGGAAGAAGAAGAGATCTTACGCAGAATGTGACGTAAGAATTTCCTTATCCCTTTTTTGATTGGTGCCCGCTATCCACGTGACCAACAGATGATTAAATATGGTTGTTTTCAACACTTTCGTCTCTTTCCTTCAAAGTTTCTTGGTTTGTGCACTCTATTTGATTTATGACACGAATACAAGCTGAATCAATTTTTAAAAAAGATTTTCGTCATTTTCAGTTCCACAATGACATATAAAAACTCTGCGACTGTATCCGCTCACCGGCTATAAAAAAACATCTCCAAACACGTAGACGAATCTGATTGGTTACAAGCGACCTCAAGAGAGAGCTGGGGGTTGTACGAGTTGAGTACAAGCATTTCCGCCGGAATGGATATTTTAGTGGGCCAAAAACAAGGAAAAATGATACAACTCACACAACTTGAGAGTCATTTTGAAGATGGAGTTGTATGGTCAAACACGTCGAAACAGAAAGTTGTGGCAGATATGAAAATGACAGAGCTGAATTTTTTATTAAGTTTCTTTATCTATGGCACAGTTCGTTCTTATGTAAAAGTCGGACTTATCGAATCTGAAGAGACTTTTTTTAGAGTTTTTTTTTTCGTTATAAGAATGTGCTTATTGCACAGTACGGAAGTATAAACACGCTTAAGAATTATATCCAGTGTTACAAACCCATAGCCCTCGTGGCCGCCTGTTAAAAGGGGAAGGGGAAGGGGGAATTTGCTCTCGCGCGCCCAAATTCCCCGTCCCCTTCCCCTTTTAACGCCGGCCACGCAGGCTACAAACCCTCAGCTCAATCATTTCAGCTATTCCTTAAATTTCAGCCCGATATACTGACCGGCTCTTTGAGAAATAATAGGGTAGAAGTTTGACCAAAAATAAAGAGAAAACAAACCCTTTTACCGATTATTCCAAATTTTCAAATGATGAAGGAATTTTCCTGCAGTTTAATTCTTAGGGGGACCGACATCTAAGTCCAAAGACCGAGTGAAAAATTTGTTCTCGTAAGTTAACGCCGTCCTGTATAAAAAAGTCAGATTAGAAAGAGGCTAGAAACTTTCACGCCGTGGTTTCTTTGCTCATTGAGCCTATTGCTTTTTTGACGTTTACGAGTGTCATCGCCGTTGGGTTGCTTTTCAAAGTCCCTAATATCAAGACTGCATATACGGCAGCAAATACCCGCCCTTTAAATAATAGTCGCGCAGCATCCGATCACTGAGTCCTCATTAATTAAGCAACACTTTCATGTCGGCGGCTGATCCTTGCCACTTGCCATGCTACATTTAGAACACAACTTTATCATTGCTACTTTCACTCAACCTTAAAGAGCCGAGCTCGTAAATATACCTTTACATATCTTTACGTACCTTCAAAAGTTTGCGTAAATGAGTTGGTTGTGTTCGTAATTGGAAAAGTTTAATTTTTCGTAAATTTCAAGTTTTCATGCTTTTTTGCCGAAAGTCGACATAGTTTTGGCTTTTTAACTAAGATCGTTAAGCACCAGAACACGTACATTTCTTGACACACTGCATTAGACGTGTCCTGGCTACGATTTGTCCTGATATCATTTTCACGACAGAAGTATCGGGGACATGACGTGCGTCCTCTGAAACGCAGTGTCTCATGACACCTCGCGTATAGATACAAGATTTGCTAAGTGTCATAGATCAGAGTATCGTGGCCCTGCAAATTCCCCTAAATTACTCATTTCACGCAGTAAGCGTGGCGGAGCGGTTAGAGCGCTGGACTTATAACAGTTGGAGGTTCCGAATCAAGTCCTGCCCTAACACGCCGGCTGGATTTGTTCGTGGTAGTTCGGAGTTCAAATCGTCGGCCAAACTTGTAAAATAGCCCACTGGTTCGCCTCCTACCAGTCGTAATGTTTAACTATGTTATGTTCCATTCAAATTATTTTCTTCATTATCCCTGGAAAGCCCCATAAGGGAAGAAGATAATTAAAGTATTGTTATTATTATTATTTACATTACTCATTAACATCTGGCCAATTCTTCGAGACTCTGGAACTAAGCACAGCAACAGTTACAAAATGAAAGTGGATTCTAGTTTCATGAATTTGACTGTGACGGCTACTGGAAGGGTGAACCCTGGCGGCCAAACAGACGAGATAGCCATCATAGAGGCACAGAAGTCAAACTCAGTAAAGGTTAATCACAGTCATTTAGGCGGGTTATGACTTCATATTCAGCTTCATATTTAGCTTAATAGCCTGCGTAGCAGCGATCAAAAAGCCCGAATACTCTGGGTACGAGAGACTGACGTGCGGGCAGGCGCTTGAAAGGAATACGGGCTCAAAAAATAAAAAGACTGAGGCGCGCACGAGGGAGCCACGCGGCGGGAGCTTTCAAACGTTGCCGGATTCTCCTTTTAAACCGTATAAATTTCAAGTGTTCAAATAACTCGCCATGTCACGGTCTTGGCGAATTAGTAAGAGCAAAACTGCATACGCTTTTTAGCTAAAGAATTGGAGATGACCATCGCTCAGAAAATTAAAAGAGAAGTTAATAAAAAATAACGCCCATGTTCCTTATTAAAACAAAAGTGATAATACATTTTCAATTTTCAAACCCCTTGTCATTGTTTATCGGCTACATATTTTATATACCTGTATATCTACCCTTAATTTAATTTCAACTTTTCTGATTAATTCTAAATTTAGATAATAAATATCGCTAGATATAAATAGTAGATGAACAAATTTCTAACTACGGTTCGCTGGGATACCCTGGAATGCCAAACGAGCGAAAAAAACTAGTGACTGCAATTTTTAAAAAAGAAAAAAAGATAACTGTTTGATAAAAAAATAATAATAATAATAGACCCTTCCCGGACATCCCAATAGTAATTATTTTTAGGTGTTACACTATTTTTAAAAGAGGTTTTCCACTAACCTTTCTGTGCCTAGACCATTAAACTAGAAGCTTAAAAGAATGGCTTCAGTATCACATGAAACTGATTTTTACGAAATAGTCCATCAATTGAAGCTAGAAACCAACAATTAAAAAGTGTTTTTGCCACCTAGGGTGGTCTGTCTTTTCATTATTCAGTTCATGGTTTCATTAATCAATTGGGATGGTTAATTCTATCCATGCAATCTTGGCAGATAATTTTAAAAACGACATTTGGTGGAACACGCTATCGGGAAGAGCATCTATGTGAACGCCCGCGAGATAGAGCGCTTTTGACCTTGACAGAAAATGGTATAAAATAACATTAACCTGTAGCCTGTGAACGGCCTTTGGTCGAGCGGGGAACTTGCCCTTTTTTCCCCAAACAGAGAGCCTGTTCAGAGGCTAATTAACCTGCTACGGAACCAAGTCCATTCCCTCTTCCTCCCGCCCCTCCTCCTCCGAAAATGTCCCCCCGGTCTTATATTCGGGTTTTTTTCCATGAATATTCTAAAATTAACCTATAGCTATTGCTCTTTCAGTATACAATATGCTCTGTAAATTTCAGTGTCTTCTCCGCCGCATTTGAAGTCAAAGCTTGTGTTAGCTGGTATAAATACTACAGTCCCACGTCTAACTGTAATTGATGCAAAGGATTTATCAATGCTGCCTGATCCAGATATCGCAATAGCTATACTTGGCCCATTTAAAGCTTGAAACTTGTACATGGAGCAGCTTGATGGAATCTAAAACAGAACACAAATCATGAGAGGGATTTCTTTAGCATCTACTTCATTTTGTTTTCTTATTTGTTATCACTACTTTCATCCTCGGAGACCCAAGGAAGGGCAGATAGTGGGGGCAAGGGAAAGTCTAAACGGGTGGGAAAAAATAGCGCGAAAAAAGGTAAAGTGGGGCTATCTCCCCGTTCTTTGCTTTTCTTCGCGCCGTTTTTTTCAGCCTGATTAGACTTTCCCTGCCCCCACTATCTGCCCCTGGGTCTCCGAGGATGGGTTACTCTGGGCGCCAGATTTTTTTCTCACTTGACACGCAATACTTAAATCAGAAACCATCCAAAAAATAGAAGTGAACCATAAACGCAATTTATGGCCCGAATGCGCGATGGCTGTTTACGCGTTAAGGCTGGGTCATTAGGGACCTTACGGAACTACGAAGGCGACGGCACCGGGAACGTCTAAACACATTAGCTTAGTGAGCAACACAACAACTCTGCACGTGAATTACGCTTTTTTGTATATTTCTTTACCGTTCTTGCACAACTACGACGTGATATGACCAATTTTCGAAAAGACGAATTGAGAACGACAACGTCAAGGCGATAAATTTCACTATTTTTTACGCGGTTATCTTTCTTCAGTTACAACCTAGCTGATTTCCCTACTTTCAAGTAACTGTGTGACTTGGCATAAGGGCGAAAAAGTTTGAAAGGAAGCAAAGTTTACTGTTTCAGCGATTTTTTCATTGGCGTCGCCGTTGTCGGAACGTAATAATGAGCTCTTCAAAAGAAGTGAAGCTTTACAAAAAATGGGATATTGAAAGGTTATGTAACTATACAGCCAGCAGCGACAAAAACGAGAGCGAAAAAGCCGAGAAAATACCAACAGGGACATGACTTCTTCCTGAATACGTGAATTGACAGGTTTTGAAATCATTCAGACAAGAGACATGTGTATCCCCCCTCCCCTGACAGGGCCTCCATTGTGAAAGCCCTGGATACAATAACAGGGTCCTGATCTTTGGAAGAACAACGTAATGTGTGACCGGGAACTTTCACTTGCCTGAATCCGCGCTACAGCAAAGTCCGGGACAGGAGGATCGTAAATTGTTGTGTAAGGGTCATTTGGATCTTGATGACAAGGGAAAATGTTCTCCTCTTTACTGCGACAACTATAATCCAGCATTTCACACAGTGTATCTACATCCTTTAACTTTGGCGTCAATCCAGCTCTGACGACATTATCACTACAGGCCATGCATTCCACACAGTCTGAACATCCAAGAAATAATCAAAAGAGAAAATGAAAATTACTTTTAGTCTTTAAGGAAGAGAAAATAGGTGACTTTTTGAATTGGTATAGCCTCCTCTGCAGGCATCACAGTCCTGTCTTAGAGAATGGGTGGGAGACTGGCGAGAGAAGAGGGAGTGACAGTGACTCCTCCTCTTCTTCTTCTCCTTTACTGGTTCTCAGACCCTCCACAGTCAGTGTAACCGTTTCAAAAGGAGTTGCCTGCGGCAGAGGCTAGTGTTGGTAGCTGTGATTGAAGAGCCACTAAGCCAAACATTATATTAACATTATTATTAACCTCCAAGTTAAATGCTCATATACAGTATTAAAATATTTAATTATTACTAGTTATATAGGGATGGCTGTTAGCTACACAAGCCTGGGTCTTGAAAACATTTGATCTGATTTCAGAATCTGAAAACCTCTGTGATGGGGCATAAAAAGTTGATTTTTTGCAGGTTAAAATAATTTTTCCAGACGATGATGGACTACTTATACTGGCAGTCTTGAAAATCAGGATGTTGAGGTTTTTAAAGAAACAATGTCACTGGCTAAGACAAAGTGATGGTATTACAAAAACTAATTTTGTGAAGCCCAGTGCAAAATATCCAGAAAACAAAATGTGGATGGAACCTATCAGTCAAGTGAGATCATCATAGTTCTTACCTCCAGCTAGATAGGCATGAGGCAGGTTTGGCCCAAGAAACATAGCTTCTCCAGGTTTAAGGACAATGTAGTTTAAGAAATAAATACAAAAACAACCACCATCTCCAGGAAATTGGCTGTTTAGCCTCAGAAGAAGTTCTCCACAATAAGTGGACAAGTCATCACCCGAGGATTTCTTTTCTGTGATTCTCTTCAACAATTTATTGAGTTGTAAAGAGATAACAGCCGGGCTGCATGTCATAAGTGCAGTGAAAGCTTTCTTTAGGCCATCAGAACCTGTGAAAAATTCATTCACTTCATTTTTTCAACAGAGATACGTGTGTGTGAGTGGGGAGGGGGGGGGGGCGAGGTTGGTGAAGCCCAACTAGAGTGCAATCTGTAATTTTGACAACCCTGAGAGTGGCTTTACCACCCAGGCACTGTCATATTGCTAAACAGTGAAACCTGACATACCATACCACATACTTACCAAGGGGGGTGGGGGGACAAGCTTATTTCTGTGAAGCTGTGATCGACAATTTTTGGTGTTGGTGAATCTTGATTTACTGAAAAACTGTTTTGTGAATCATGATTGAAGTGCACCCCGTGAAACATGAACTGCCAAAATCCTCTTTACTGTTCATGTACATTGAAGATGAATTGAAGAAATTAAATCATTAATTTGGCCAAACTATCTTAACTAGCATCTGGCGGGTTGATTTAACTTCACCTTTGAGTCTTTTGATGTAACTTCACTCTTCAGTGCGCTCAGACCCACCTACAGCTGGCTTCCCTAGGGAATTTATAGCCACGCAGAGATCACCCAAACACGTGGCCGAAATTCAAATACACTATTTGTTTCGCGACTCATGAAATGCAAAATTGTTGTTCATGAACTCATGACGAAATCCCCCCTTGCCCCCACCCCCTCACCCAGCTAGGGCCTTTTTGGGGATAACAAAAACAAAATAATAGGCATGCCTTGGATAGACCGTGATATCTATAACCATCCCAGACTAAACTGATAAAAAACACCACTCCTCACAGTAGCAGAAGTACCAGTACAGCTTCCACACAGCTTGTATCTATAAAAACACCCTCTCTTGACTTCTTGGATAAAAAATCCCTTAGTACACAAACCTGAAGCACTAGCAGCAACAGCATCAGCTGCTTCTTGTCCAATGACAGCAGCCAGCTCTGGTATGGTCTTCACAAAGTTCTGAATTTCAGCCAATGGGCGAAAACCACAAAGACCTTCAAAAGGGGTCAACGCTGTTTGTAACAGAAAAGAATGCAATAGGAAGGTTGATGAAATTTTCCAGTAATTATCTTCCTAATAATACAATTGAACCTCCATGTGCGACCACCTCTTGTAAGCGACCACCTCCCATTTAAGCAACCACTCATCCAAAACACCAAAACTTTCCCAGTCAAACCCTTACAGTTGAAACCTCTGGTAAATGACCAACTCCAGTAAGTGACCGCGACTACTTTTTGGGCCTGAAAGTTTCATGATTTTCTATTGTTTAACCTCTTGTAAGCCACCACTTAAAGCTTTCTCTGATCTGTGCGCTGTGATACTTTGAATATACAAAGAACTTAAGTAACAACATGGACGTACACATGCCGTAACTTAGAAATTTCATGCAATAACTTATCCTCCATAAAGAAGATTTGTCCGGACCTCTTAACAAAAGAGGCACCCTGTGGTTCAATTCTTGTAAGCGACCACCTCCCATAAGCAACCACTCAGTCTTTGCATTTTGGGTGGTCACTTACAGGACGTTCAACTGTATTTTCATAAATTCACTCGTTCTTACCAATTGCCATCTCTGGCTTGTGGTTAGGATCTTTGTATATTTCAGGTCTCTCCCTATGAAGAAAGGCAGCATGAACTTTGTTTGGATGTGCTTGAATTGACAATGCTTTGTTAACCGATAACACCTTCAACAAGAACGGCAGTTTGCTGTCAAATGCCTCTTTAACGGCCTCACCAAGAACATCTTTATTAGATTCAATCCACTCAGACAACAAAATCTCTTTTCCTTTGCCGAGCACTGTTGATGGTCCATTTGGATGCGTTCCCATCCAAAACTGTAAAGAGAATGAATAAAAGTGAAGACAAGTCAGTATATAGCTAGAAAAAGCTGAATAAAAGCTGAGTTTAAATATCAGTCTGAAATCATACCTCAGAATATGGTTTGTCCTCTTCTAGCTTAAATGAGGGACTTTGCTGAGCGAGCTGTGCTACAGTGCTAGTTAAACCAATCTTACCCCAAGCATAACACTGAACAGCACACTTTAATTCAGCCACTGTAAAGAACAATGAGTCACATAAATTGAGAGGTTATGATGCGATATAACAGCAACCTTGGCAGTAGAAGTAATTTTTTTAGTGGCGGAAAAAGTTAGACTGGTTGCTGTGATGGGGAGGATAAGGGGTGTACAGTAAGCCAATTTTAGGGAAAGGGGAAAGAGAAGAACATTTTTAGCTTTTAAAGATGCTTATTACAACATATCAGTGGGTTAGCACCTTAGAGCGAAAAAGACTAGGGGAACACCAGAAGCAAACAACATCTGCTGCAAGACTGTCATTATGAGGTTGGGGGCCAGGGATTTCCCCCACACAGGAAAAAATAACAGATTCCCATTTTTGGATATTTTACGGTATTTAAAGAATACCCACAAAAATCCCAAATTTTGAAGAGTGAGACAAGTCCCAATCAGGGAACTTGGTTGGGAATTCCCTGGTTGGGACTTGTTTCACTTCACCAAATTTGAGATTTTTATGGGTATTCTTTAAATACGCTAAAATATCCAAAAATGGGAATCCGTTATTTTTTCCTGTGCCAGCTACAATAAACTTTGCCCCTGGCTACTTTCAAAGGAAAATAGAAGAAAAATAGAACCAAAAGAAACCCCTAGCTGTTTGATTCCCCCCCTACTTGTTGTATTTACCTTGAAATCTTAGTAACAACCCCACTGCTGTTTGAGAAAACTTGTCAAGACCAACCTTGAGACTCAAAAAAATCCCAGAGGCCATTCACAGCAGGTGCCAGTGTCCAACAAAAACAGAGGCAAGGATTATGAACTACCCCTAATTTTCAATAAAATGCTATCAGTGTGACTAAAATACATGTTAATCACATGACAATTCAGTAAGTTTACTGATGAAGACTGTGTGAGACAGTCAAAAGCTTCTTTGCTTTTTTAAATCTAAGAGACCTTGTGAAAAGAGCTTTTTTCATTCTCCATTAGGTAAAAAGACTATATAATCCTTACACTATTACAAACAGGCTTAACTTCCCTTAAACTGGACGCTCATTAGTAAAGATTTTAATCCTAGTGATGTGCCATTTACAGGTAAATTCTGTTTGGCACTGAATCAAAAAAGTAAAGATAAACTACTTAATCATAAAAGAGATAGGGCACAACTCCAGGATACGAGGATAGCTCTTCTCGGTAAATTCTGGAAGGATGGAGTTTTGCTTTGGCCATAGCATGAAGACATAACTAGTCGATCAGACGGCGATGTTTTCGAGCAGGGAAATTCAATGTCAATTGCCGCATGAAGAGAACAAGGTCATGCGCCTGTGGTACCTTCTTCGCAAAATACAATGCTCAAAACAGCTCGGGACATCTAAAACACGTACGACACGTGACATGAACATTTCGCTTAAAGTTTTACGAAATCGTGTTCGTTCAAATCTGTATTCTGGAGCAAATATTAGCCATCGCAACATTCATCTTTTCTTCGAACTTCTAAACCATAGGGTCGATGCTCAGTTTTTGACACTAAACAAACGGCCATACGAACAGAGGGTGCCTGTGCTTAAACCTCAAAACTGTCAAAACGGAACAAATATAACAAAATAAGTCAGCGTTAGATCATTCAGTAGCTAAACAGTTACCTTCACTGGAACCGGCTGTTGACGCCATACTACCATGGAAAAACTTTGAGTCAGAATGATTAGTCAGATTTTACGTGGACAGAACGAATTACGACAGGCGTTATTTGTTCATAGTTTACAATCAGAAAAGGCCTGGGTGCTAAGACTTCTAAGGTAGGGTCGGTGGGGTGAGATAGGGCCGTTGTCACACTATCAAAAGATAAATCAATATAAGATAAAAAACTATATACATTTAAGATATCATATCGTTTTGAATGTAAGAATATACTTTTTTTAAAGTTGCATCGTTTTATTTTTATTTGGTGAAGTATCAGACAAAATTTTCTCTACCCTACCCGAGCTTTGCCCTAGCTAAACAAAGAGCCTTCGCGGGAAGCCTCGATTTGAAACCAACCAAAGCTCATCATGGCGGGCTCCTCATGGCGTCTGGATGCAAGCGTGGATAACGATGCAGGAAGATAAATCGAAAAAAAGTGTCAAATGATTCTCATGCAAGACAAAGATAGGTAAGAGCAAGTCTTAATAACTGCATCTGAATTAAATTTGAGCCACTGTCACTACATTTCTTCTGTATTTTAAAGTTAAAACAGCCGAAGAACGCGAATTTAATATTTCTTGAGCATGAGTTGTTGTTGGTTGCCCACTTGAAGATTCAAGACAGTTCTGTTGACGTTTAATATACTTGAAATAGTGAATATATAGCCGGACCTTGATTTAAGTTTGCCATTTGATAGAAAATGGTTGTTTATATGACCACTGCATAAAATGTTAAGCAACTATACAGAATGCAGGCCCAATTATTTAAACACCTTACACAGAAAGTATCTCGGTTGCTCGCTAGTCAGGACAAGCGTTTAAAGAACGAGAAAGATATACGACATATACGTCAGTGCTCCAAGTATGGCTAGAATGCAGAATACCCAGCCCGCTAACTAGTAACAAGGAGGCAAGGTAAAATCTATAAAAATCAATGATTAAATCCTGGGGCTGATGCCATATATGGGTTGAGTTTGCAGTTGGTTTTCTCCCTTGGTCTGAGAGTTTTTTCCTTGGGTACTCCAGTTTTCCCCTCTCCTCAAAACCCAACACTTCCAAATTCCAATTTGGCTAGGAATCAGGTAGATGAAGAACCAATAATATTAGTGGATTTCATACCTCTAAATCATTAATTTTATATTTATTTATTCGTTTAAAGACCTTATACTGGGCTTACTAAATAAAAAATATTTACAAATAGAAAGGATAGAAGTTAATGGAGTTGTAACTCGGTGTTTAACGCATATCAGACAAAAAATTCTGAAAACAGATTTCGGTTTTAAGCTGGAAATTTGAAATTCATGGATGGTTAGAGCAGCGCATTCTGTGATTGGTTGCGAAGAACTTGTTCTCATGATGACACTTGGTTACCAGCTTGGATTGTTTATTTAGGATAGTATCGTGGGCAGTCAAGATACGTAGTTTCTCAGAAAGACACAAATTGCAGCATGATGGGTTTCCCTTGTCCGCATTTGCCCTCTTGATAATACGCCACTTGATGTCATATGTCGTGTTGTTGTCCTTTAGTGGCCTTGGTGGATATCAACTTGATCTGCATAATTCTGAGAGGGGGCGTAAGGGTTGCGGTGATGTGGTTTTGCTCAATGTTTGGTGCGGTTTTGCAGTTTTGCGGAAATTTTTATTTTTTGTTGCGGTATTGCGGTTTTACTAAACCAAGCGGTTTGTGGTATTTAGAAATTTCTGGGTAATTTCAAAGCGGTTTGTTGTTTTCTTATGTTATTCTGTGGTGTGTTTATACGTATTTTGTGCAGTTATTCGTACCCCCCTTCCCCCCCCCACATCAATTCTTCATATCCTACTCAGCCTCATTCAATAATTGCTTTATTATTCATTCAAAATAATTCCCAGTTTAAAAACAAGCTAAATGTGCTTACCTCCATCATTGTTAAATAGTGCATGTTTATTGGGAAGTTTAGGAGAGAAAGGGTGGTTCAGGTCTGCAAATATACTCGAAATAGCAGATGTTGTCCATTGAGGTGTCTTTTTGCTGTTCTTGCTATGTTTTTAGACAATTGTTAGCCATGAAATGAGTAAAATGTTCCGCCATTACTCACTTCGAAAACAACTCAAACTTGTGCCCATGTCTTTTTGGTTAACAAGACAATAATCTGCAATGTTGCTACACTTTTGACATCATCGGTTCATTTCAATATGGCAAAATTCTTCCAAATATGGTCAATAATAGCTGGTTATGATGAATTATGTGTGTGATTTTAGCCAATCTGAAACTGAGAAATATTTTGAATGAATAATGAGGGTGCGTTCGATTGGGAAATCTGGATTTAGATTTTAAAATCCAGATTCCGGATTTGCAATCGAACGCAAAATCCGAAAATGGATTTCAACACTGAGATATCTGTTTTTGGATTTTCATTTTTACCGTTCGATTGGGAAATCCGAAAAAGGATTTGAAAAACTGTCGGTAAGAACAGCGGTCTTGCACGTGCACTCATAATTAGGAAAAAAAAGATCGCTGTTCACGAGAACAGTTTTGCAAATCCGTTTTCGGATTTCCCAATCGAACGGTAAAAAGGAAATCCATGAAATCCGGATTTGGATTTCTTAATTGAAATCCACCCTGAGGACAGATTTCTCGGAGGTGAAATCCGTTTTCGGAATTTGCGTTCGATTGGGAAATCCGGATTTAGATTTTGAAAATCTAAATCCGGATTTCCCAATCGAACGCACCCTAAATATTGATATGGTATTTGACTTTTCTTTTTCTAGCGCTTGAAAAATTGCGGACAAGCTACGTTGCTGGAGGCATGGCTGGACAGCATCCTTTTAATTTTAACCAAACTGGTTTAAACTTGTTACCTCTACTTGGGAGTCCATTGGGAAATCCCCGGCAGCTTTTGAGTCAGTTACAAGGGTTACGAGCTCCGCAGTCAAACATGGGTTTAGGATCATTTGGTCAAGAAAGTTATGGAAGACAGAGAATGCAAATCACTGATGATCGTTTCAGAAGGGAACTGCCTGACTTTGACCATAGAGAGAGGTCCTTTAGAGAGCCATACATGAGAAATCAGGGAAGGGACAATTACCCTGGCGAGAATCGCGATAGAGTTCATGGGCTGATGGACAGGGAAGTTCCAGTAGATTTCCTATTCCCAGAAATGGGCTCAGAAAGAAATGAAGAGAAATATGGAAGGGAGAATATGGAGAGGCAAAGTTATGGTATGCACAACAGAGGCAGATCAAGGTCACCTGTCCGATCTAAGGGAGACATAAGAGATAGGCAAGTTAGTCCTAGTGACAGAAAGTATGGATCCCGAAATGACTTAGCTGTTCCCTGGAATGCGTTGCTTCGCCGCCATTGTTATCTTGTACCCCCCTTAGATGACACCTATGTTTTGGCATTAAGTGGGAAACAACCAGGATGTCGTGCAGTCTTCATTGGTGGTCTTCCAAGCATGGCTGACGAAGACATTGTCAGGGAGATTTTCAGTGTCTGTGGGCCCATTGAACAGATAAGCCTAAACAGTGTCCGAGCAAGTACACAAGTAAAACACTGCCAATTGCGCTTTGTCAAACTTGACTCTGTTGAGAGGGCAGTCAAGTTCAATGGTCATGTACTGGTCATTGGAGATGGTCGCGACAGAAAAACAAAAATTGGTCGCATTCGTGTTGATTATGACAAACTGCCCGGGGGTAGTGAAGAGGTCCAAAGTGGCATGGTAGTCAAGGAGAAAGTGCAGCTGCCTCAAGAAAAGCAGGAACAGGATTTGAGCTTCGAGTTTACACGCAAACAGGCGTTCCATCTTCTGGACTTGATTCGTCATGATCAGGCCTTAACAGAGTCACTTGGTACTGTGACACATTGGTTTGAAAGGGGAGAGTGTAACCGTTCTACAGTGAATGTGTTTCATGCACTGCTTAACACTGTCAATAGCCTGATCAAAAGGTTAGTGAGCAGACGGAAGGAGCATGAACAACGTGTAGAGAAACAGAAACAACAGGCTGTGGAAAGAGGCAATGAAATCAAACAGCAATGTAAGTTAAGTCTTTAATGCTTAATATTTGGTACAATTTGACATAATGATAAATGTCTCAGTAATCACTATTCAGGCATAAAATAATGTATGCAGGAGATTTTCTAATTCTAATCATATTATATGCAAGGATGTACCACATCACAGCAGATGTGCAAATGTTCCTGTGCTTATGTTGAAATATAATCAAGGTGGGAGTGTTAAGTAAGTAAAATTAATAATAAAATAATAATAATGAAGTTCTGGGGTCAGCAGTTTTAAAGATGGCACGTGGCAGCCATTTTGAAAGTCTCCACTGACTGCTTTTTCTTTTTGTTAAAGAGTTCCAGTCTCTGATTTTACTTGCGATAAAACTGTGTTGGTATTTGGTTGCTTGGAACAGACTTGAATGAATTTCATAGGATGGAATTGCGTAGTGCTCTTTCACCTTTTAAATTGAGTAAATTATGCCACTTTCCTTCTTTTCTCGAGTTTCTCAGAATTTTCTCGACAATTCCAGGAGTGGTGCTATATTCATTTTTAACAAAGCGTGCCACTTGTCTCTGCTTACTCTCAATGTCCTTCATCTGTTTTTAAATGTGTGGGTCCCATGGGTAACATCCATATTCAGTCAGAGGTTATGCTAAAGAAAGATAGGCTTTCTCTTTAATGTTTTCTGGGCAAATCTTATTTAGATTTGCTAAGCATGGAAGAAGTAAACAACAAAAGTAACATATTTGCTCGTGTAATTGAAAAGAGTATATTAAGTGAGATTGTTTATCTTGTCACTTGATAATGATGCGACATGAAACTTTGAAATTTTTTTTTACATATTTTTTTGCTAATTATTATTCTTATGTGTGTAATGAAATAATCATTAGTTTATGGTTCTTATGTTCTACCATGAGGTGAAGCTGTATGCAGGGTTTTTGAAGCAGCAACGAAGCAGAAAGCATGGGATCATTTCACAAAGGCACAAAGGAAGAACATCACCCAGTGGCATGGTGCCATAAAAAATGTAAGTGTACTCAGTACTCAGTACAGCCTGTTATACAGGCTGCTACAGAAAATTTAGATCAGAAGGCGAAAAAATTGTCACAGTGGAAACTTGATATAACGAACCTTTGTATACGGAAGTCCTTGGTATAACAACCGATTTTCTTCACCCGAGTAATAGTAAAACATGTGGAAGAGTACCTTGATATAATGAAACCTTGTGATAGCGATAAATTTTGCCAGTCCCTTGGCAACTTGGTAATATTCAGGTTCCACTGTATTAAGTAGGCAGCAAAAGATTAGATCGTCATCCGTGTTTGAGGTACATATATGTGGGAGGAGGGTTGCCTCATCTTCCGTGAGGGAGTCCAGGCACCTCTCCTGGAATATTGTTAATTTTGGCAGCCCTGAAAAGTACGTTTTAGTGGATTTTTAGTGACCAGGGATATAACTTTGCCATCAGAATAGCACCTTTGTTTCATATTTTCCCCATATTCTCTATATTTTATATCATATTATGTTTTTGTAATCAAACATAAGCGTTAAGACGCAAATAACGGTACATCAGATTCATTATCTCTCTTTAAATTAATTTCTGTGAGTAGCCAGCTCTTCTGTGAAATGTAGATGGGAACTGATCTGCTTTCTCACACCGTTTCTGGAGAACTTCATAAAAATACTTTTTTGCAGAAAGGTGAAATTATTTACCCTTACAAAATGTAAGTGCAAGATTACGATTTTCTGCTTACAGCCATCTGCCATGTTATCAGTTGCAGCCATCAACCTTCATGTATGCCTCTACTGTTATTTAAACCACTCAGAACAGGCCACTTCTAAAAAAAAACAACAGCAACAGCAAATCTTTAATTTCCTTAGCTACAAAATTTAGTAAAAAGTTATCCAGCTTTTACGCAATGACAATGTTACATCAATAGCATGCCCATTTAGCACATGCATAGAACAGTGAAACCCCGCCTAACGGCCACCTCGGTAATACAGTCACCTTGTTATTCAGCCACTTTTTTGGATGCCTGGCAAAATGGCCATACATTTTCTTGTAAAAGAAATCCTTGTTAATACGGCCAAATTTTTTTGTCCCCTTGTTGACCGTACTAACAGGGTTCCACTGTAGAATACAAATTTAAGGGTTGAACCTAATTACAGACTGTTTAAATACCTGCAACCATTGTAGTTAAAGGCATTTGTTTGTTGTATCAAATGTTGATAGCAAGTGTTAACATATATGTATTGTTAGTTGCTTGAGATAATATTCATTCAGATGAAGACTTGAAATGGTCGTTACTCCACAATATATCTTGTTGAGTTTCTTTTTTCTGAAATTTCCTAAGTGGACAAAAGGAAACACAGACCATACCAAAAGCTAAGTTGTAGACTTTTCATCAAAAAGCTAATATTCTTATAGCTGTCATACAACTCTTGGCCAACCTCATACATCTTCAGGTCTTTCTAACTTTCCTTGTTGGGTAGGTTAAAGGTGCTAGAAATTCTATGATGCATTCTTCAAAGACTCCTCCTTCTGTAGGTTTAAAGCTGTAGTTCTATTGATCGCTTATCCAAGAACATGAACATTACCAATATTTAGTTGTTGTTAAAAGATAAGAATCATAATATCAGGGAGGTAAGGGTGGTGCATTGCTGAGAGCACTCACCACTCACCAGTGTGGCCTGGACTCAAATCTTACAGTCAACTCCACATGGGTTGTGTTATGTGCTCTTTCTTGCTCCATGAGGCTGCTGGTTTCCCTCTCTCCTCATTAATCAACATTTTCAGATTCCATATCATTTGGGAACAAGGATATCACAGTGCTGAGAGTGCTCACTTCCCATTAATGTGACCCGGGTTCAAATCCCGATGTTGACGCCATATGTGGGTTGAGTTTGTTGTTGGTTCTCTTCCTTGCTCTGAGAGGTTTTTCTTTGGGAACTATGGTTTTACCCTTTTCTCAAAAAACAACACTTCCAAATTCCAATTCAACCAGGAATCAGGTAGACGAAGAACCACTTAGTGGATGTCCTTCCTCGAAATCATTATTTATTGATTGATTGATTTATTTATTTACCAATCTAGGATAAATTAGGCAAAGAAGTCCTTTAAGGATGTGCTACCACTAAATGGTTATTGATTCATCATTTTATTAAATACGTTGCCAGTTTTTAGTTTTTCATTGACAAGTGTCACAAATGTGAACATATTTTCCCCCGCCTCTCTTTGATAAGTGTTAGTTACATCTGTACGTGTATGGGTGATAAGTTTGACTCTCTCCTTTGGTTTGTTATTTGAAAGTTGCCATGGTTAACACTGGCTGGATTGTTACTTAGAACAAAGTACATGCTCCCTGCATTGTGCAGCTATTGCCTTACTGGAATCTGATAGTCCGTGCAGAACACAAGAAACAGCCTTTAGTACCAAATGATTTCCTTGAGAAACTGATGTTTCTCAGTTGTTTAGACTTTTAAGGTCTGTTGAAGGTTTGATTGTTATCACCACACACCCACATTTTGGCAGTAATGTAGCATGCTTCACTCAAATGCCATTTATTTTTCCAGTGTGACAAGTGTTCATGGGGTGTATTTACTTCCCACAGAAAAAAAAATGTTGCATCCTTCAGTGATTTTGTTAGCTCCATGTCCTGCGTCCCTGACGCATAAAAATCCCCAAAGACACAAAATAATTTGTGGTATTCATCCCATAGGACGCAGAGATAGATCAATTATTGATCAATCTAAAGATGTTTTTCTAGAATATCCTGTTTGTGTGATTTCTGTGCCTGTGCTGTTCTTGTGGCTGTTGTTAAACGACTCATTTCTTTTAGTCTTTGTTGTGCTTTACAATAGAAGGAGTATATTACTGTAATTTGGAGTTTTGGAGTCTGTCTTCAGATTAACTGTGTGGTTACAAAAGACCCTGGGACTCATGGTTTTTTGAACTGGGGCTCATTGGTTCTGGACTGGGACTCATAATTTTTCACAAGATGAGTCCCGGGACTCACCATAACTATTATTTTGTAACAGAATCACTGATTCTTTCCAGTCTAACCCCATCCCTTCAAAACCATTCGAGTGCAAAAAAGTAGCACATCACTGTTTACATGGTCATTCTGTAGAGTATGACCATCCAATAACTGCTGTGGCTACAATGCCTCACTCTTTGAGTGAATTGGAAGACTGTGAAGGTAAGTCAATAGCAGTTCTCACTGTTATCATTGTGTGCCGTCCCCAGGAGATCAAATCAGCCAAAGAGGCTGAGATCGAGAACCGTGTCGAGGTAGGTATGGATCTGGATGATGAAGTGCCAACGCTTGGCGGGCTTATCGAGCAACCTGCACTACAGACATCAGAAGAGGCAGAAAACCAACAGGATCAAGAGGAAGCTCAAACAAGCCTATCGACGACAAAAGCCAAGAAGCTGCGAGTGGAAGCTTCAGGTACTGTGTCATTACACCACAGGCAACTATAATTACAAATTTACTCCTAAAGGTGGGTGAGTTAATTATGCACAGTGCAAACCCTTTGATTGGTAACGGGATGGAATTCGATGTGCTGCCATTAAGAAGCTGTTAGCAGTATGCCTAGTCTCTCTTTGACCAAGAGGACTGTTCCTGATATATAGTATTACTTGTTTGAAGCTGGTTGTAAGAGATTCAACTCTGTTGCTCTTTCTGTTGAACCAGGTAAGTTTTTCCAGCTTCTTCCCCTCAAGGGTTACGTGAAAGTACAATATGAAGCTGCTCTTGTGAGCTAAGCTTTTTGATCAGTTGGAAGCTTAATACTGATGCTCACTCAAGCAAAATTGGTCTGATCATGCCGGTAGTCGGAGTTAAGGACAATTTAAACTACTGTTATAGCTCAATGCTGTAGTTCTTGTCACTAAGTACAGGTTCAATGAGAACGTGACTAGAGCTGTTATTTTTCTGTAGCTTCCGTCGGAATCTTCACTAGACACATGTGATGAGCGCAGAGCAAAATTTATTTCAGTAGTCGATTAATCACGTTTTCAAAACCCTCATCATGTCATTTTTTTCTTGATATCCTTCCGTTTTCTCTTGATTGTAACTTGAAAAGTCATCTTGGCCACCGCCTTAGGAAGTAATAAGTCAGTAGAAGTAACATATCTTAACAGTTAAGTGTCAACTCTTCTGTGTAATCTGTCAGTGGATATATCTGTTAGCCTTTGAGCTTTAACCCTCTCTCATTACAGAGGCTATCATTTTCTCATTTTCTCTTACCGAATCAATAGATGGCTCTGCCTGATTTGGATTTACACTCTACATTTTGTAACCTTTAGTTAAGGGAAAACCTGCATAAGAAGGAAACAAGTTATAACCTTACTCACACTCTTTGTACTCCAAGATGGGACCCTTGGTCATGGTCCGTCTTCTTCCCTATTCTTCTCTAGGAAACATATTGAAGTAGGTAAAGAAAATTAGGATGTTGACGTCAGGGACACCGCCCATTAGAGGACCCCATAAACGGTTAACAGTCGTTTCGCCAATGTCCTGTTCGCCAGCTTCTGAAGTCGATTCGCTTACGCGTTGAGTCAGCTCCTTAACGGCTTTCTCCTGATCAGTGGCTGAAAGAACGAAGTATATACGTGCGTATCGCACTTTTTTGTATCATGGCTGAGAGAACGAAGCATATACATGCGCAGCGCTCGTTTCCCTTCTTAGCGGAACAACAAATAGACGTTAGCGAACGGGACGTTGGCGAAACAACTCGTGACACGTAAGCGAAACAACCGGTCACCCTCTAAGCTACGGCTCAAGCCACATGCAAATGCTAAATATTTGTTAACTTTATTACAAGTGCAATCATTGAGTCGTCGTACTTCTTCCCTCATTAGAGACCTTTAGATTCAAGGACTAGAACGACTACAAAAACGAGATTTGACTTCAAGTTTTTTCGCGTATTCTCAAAAAATAGACTCCCCGGAAAGCTTCATTTTACCATTTTTCACCAGAAAAGCTAGCACTGTTACCTCTATAGAAGGAGGTTGCACCCTCTCCTGATCGCAAAATGATAAAACTTCTAACATCTAATAACTTGTTTACGCAACTTCGACAGTCTCGCTAAAACTCGTAGTAGAGTGAAGACGGCTACCACGTTTTCCCGCCAAAATAACGCTGGTTCACGCGCGAGCACAACTTAGTATTGAGAAAATCTCGTACTTGTAGTCGTACTCGTCTTAGAATCTAAAGGTCTTTATTCATTTGTATTTAAAATGTGGTATCTGCTACAGAGTATTGAGGTTTTAACAGTATGGATTAAAGGGTTTATTAATTGTTTTTATCCTGTAGAATCTGATGCTGACCCAGCGGATTCCCTGAGGTTAGAGAATGAAAAACTGCGAACGCAAGTTGAGAGTCTAAAGGCAATTGCTGAACAAAACACAAGTCTGATGTGGTCCATGCAGAGTTATCAGTACCAGGCAGAGGAGATAAGACAGCAGTACAACAACATGATAGCAGCTAAAGATTATGAAGTATGGAAACCCTGCATGAAAATTCTTAGTCTTTGAAGGGTCTTAACCTATTCATTTTTTTGCTAAACAATGCTATGGCACCTTGCAAGGACCGCCTCCTTTAGTCTTCTTGATTGAGAAGGAGGGTAACTGGTCAAGTCGCCAGAAAGTCATCTCGCCTAAAACTAGAGTTTAAGTCGCCAGAAATGCTGAGTAATGTCGCCCGAATTTTATTAGGTGAAGTGCACAGAGAAAAAAAGTGAATTTTTGTGAAATAAAGAGTGTGTGTAACATATCTCGTTCTTTAAGCCATCATTGGACGAAATAAGCGGAATGAATGTGTAACATACCTCGTTCTTTAAGTGATGATGAGACGAAACAGGCGATTTTTTAAGCTTATGTGTAATATTTCTCGTTCTTTAATCCTTGATGAACATCGAAACAAGCGCAATAAATGAGTAATATATCTCGTTCTTTTATCTTGATGAGACGAAACAAGCGCGATAAATGTGTAACAGGAATGCTAGGATGTTATTAAGCGCAATAAAATTTCGAGCCACATAACTAAGTATTTCAGGCGACTTAACTAAAAATTTCGGGCGACATAACTCTGATTTCGGGCGACACAACTTCGGGCGAGATGATTTTCGGGCGACTTGACCAGAAGGACAAAAGCACTCTCTGCCTGAATCGCATCAAGCGTTTGAAGTCACAGCAACCCGGATTTCTGAACTAGTCAATCTTGTTTTCTCTCGTCAAACTGGTTTTTTAATGCAAGCATCCATTTATTAATAAAATTGCTGGTCATAACTGAGCCCGCCGTACCAAGCGCATGGCTCTTAGGCCTGGATTGGAAACTTTATCCAAGCAACATTGAGCTCTCGATTCGTGCAGTCTTTCTGGAGTACACCAATACTGATCGAGCAAGCGACAGAAAGGCTCTGCTAGCAGGTTGAAACTATCTTTTAAGGCTAGTAGAATCCATTTCCCGCCATCCTCTGAACTGAGCGCGAACTACTGTAACTAGTCAAACCATAATAGAAAACACCTAAGCACGGCAAATTTTTATAACATAATTGATTTTAGCTGATTTTAGGGAGATGAAACTCTAAATACATAAAAAAAATACGAGGTATTTTTTTTTAGATGAAAGCTGTATTAAGCATATGGGTAGTTACACGGTATCCACAGTATAAGTAATTATGAACTCTACCTTTTTTTCCCTTCCTGTTAGATATTTAGTCTGACGAAAGCTCTGCAAGATGCGAATATCCTCACTGATCCAAAGGTAGTGTAAACACGTTAATAACCTGTCCTTTTGTTTGAACCCTTTAGGCTCTGAGGATGATAAGCATTAAATTTATCCTGGTTTGTAATCCAGAAAAGACATCGCAATATAAGACGTAACCATACAATATGGATTCTCTTGACGTGTTTTCAGCAACTTGTGTTTACTACTTTTTCGTTTTCCTTGTCTTCTCTCTTAGAGGTCGTAGGAATAAAGTCATAATTACCTGAATTTATGTCGCCCGTAACCAGAATTATGTTCAAAATTCAAGTGTAACTTTTTTTTAACCAAGAGTGTAGGCAATGGAAAATCGTCTTCATTGCGCTTTTTTCAGTAGAAATTTTCTGTCGTTGTTGTTGTCGCTGTTTATTTTTTTTAGCAACGCTTTTTTAACTGCGGCAGGTTTAGTTCAGTTTATGGTAGAGCGCTGGTCCATTGAGCGGGAGTTCGTAGGTTCGACTCCCGGGGTTGGAGCAAACCTCAGCACAATGTTCCAAAAGGCAAGTCGGTTCCCCACCTCCTTTCCAGCTCATCTTGTTTTTAGGCTCGTTCTCAAGACAAACGAATTAAGACGGAATCCATCAGGAAATTGATTAATTTTAATTTTCAATGGACAAAAACCTTGTACCAGAATGATTTAAACAATATCGCATTCTTTTTTACATTTTTCAAGGGCTATAGATATAATTAGTTATCTGTAATAACACCAAAGACTATTTTTCATGGGAGCCCGAGAAAATAAATGTCAAATTTCACAAGAATTGTGAAAACACAGCTAAAATACTGAAAATTTCATGTGTCATTTTGTGAAAGCTGACTTTTTTTTCTCGGGCTCTTTGTAAGAAATTTTCTTTGGTCTTTATTACAGATAACTAATTACAACTATGGCCCTTGAAAAATGTAAAAAAGAATGCGATATTGTTTTAATTATTCTGGTACAAGGTTTTTGTCCACTGAAAATTAAAATTACTCAGTTTGCTGATGAATTCCATCTTAAAACTTCATAAGAATGCAAGACTTTCGTTCCGATTTTCAGAGATCGATGGCTGAGTTCGAAATTCTAGTGGACTTGGGCAAGGATAGCCATAATGTCACAGACATGGACCTCGACACAGAAGAACTCACAGAATTTAACGAAAACGGGAACGAGAACAGCAAGCTTGGGATGCAGGATGAAATTGGTGTAATGGAAGAGTTTACGGCAGAGAAAAACGCAGAAAATGGAACTGGTGTGGATCTCGCAGATGTTACTGAAGGTTTGCAGAGTGACAGTTTGGGTACAGAGCTGGTGGAAGTTGGCAACGGTGAAGAACTTTGTCTTGAAAGTCATCCTGTGCAGGAGGTACCAGTGAAAGAGGGTGATATTGGGTACCCTGTTGAAAGTGAAAAAGTAGACACTGAAACCGAAGAAAAGGGGATGAAAGAGAAAGTGAAAGATGAGAAGCTTGATGAAGGTAAGATAGCCGAAGACAAAAAGAGCGATCAAGCTGAGGAAAACATAAACACCGAGGAGAAGGCAGAGGTATTTGTCGAAGATGAAAAGAGCCACAAGGAAGATGTGGAAAAACAAACCAGTCAGGAAGAGAAAGAAACTGAAAAAATGAAAGAAGTGGAAGATGCCAACGTAGAAGGAGAAGGGAGTGGCCGCTTTGTGGAGATCGATGACGAGCAGTTTGAAGTGATTGATGACATGGATGAGGAAGACAGCGATGATGATTACAAAGAAATTACTGCTTCGGGCAGTTCTCTGCAGGTCTTTGATAACAGCGCCCAGAAAGTTCAAGACAATGAAAAGGCTGAGTATATGAACAGCGACTGTGCAAACGAACAGCTTGCGAGTGATTCAACTAATTATGCTGAGCTTGACTCTAGTACCCAGGAAAAAACGCAACAAAGCCAAGATGATTACAAAGAAGTCAACGCGCAGCAGCAGGTCGCCACCGACTCATCAAATTACCAACTAAATTACGATTCCCAGTATCAAGCCTGGCTCTCAGCAGCTGTGAACAGCCGTGCATCTATGAATTACGGACCCAACCAGGTGCGCATCTCCGGGGAGGAGCTCGTATTTGTTGGTATTATATGTTCCTACCTCCAGCTTTGCCCCGCAGGAGCTACAAGTGGCGAGATACGAGATTACCTGTCGAGGCAGTTCAAGGAGCGAAGAAGGGATGTGGTAGATAGATTGCTTTGCAGCTTGCCTGTTTTGTTCAAGACAGAGGATGCTAGTGGAAATGCCAAGTGGAAGTTCTGTGGATTAGAGAAGTTGGCTGAGGCAAAAGGCGAGAGCTGAAGAAACGTACAGGGACACCAAGCAGACATTGCTGCTGCTCATGCATATGTCATATATATTAGCAAGTTAAGACGGAATCCACCAGGACATTGAGTAATTTTGATTTTCAGTGGACAAAAATCTTGTACCAGAATAATTTAAAGCATATTGCATTCTTTCTTACATTTTTCAAGGGCTAAAGATGTAATAACTCATCTGTAGTAACACCAAAAGAAATTTCTTACGGGAGCACCAAATTACATCTTACAAGTGAAATTTTCAGAATTTTACCTGTGTAATCACAATTCTTGTGAAATTCGACGTACATATTCTCGGACTTCCATGAGAAATTTTCTTTGGTGTTACTACAGATGATTTATTACATCTTTAGTCCTTGAAAAATGTGCAAATGAATGCAATATTGTTTGAATTATTCTGGTGCAACGTTTTTGTCCACTGAAAATTAAAACTACTCAAATTCCTGATGGATTCCGTGTTGATCTCTTGTGGTACTTACGGTATATACGCCCGTACTGTGTACAAACTGCGTAAAACCTGTGGCATCATTTGCATGTAGTGTTGTTTATTAAGGTGTACGAGGTTTTTGAGCTTGTGATACATTTGATTAACACGAGGTTATTCTGCCTGTTATTTTACCGCTGTATGAGTAATAAAACTCAATCCTATTCTAGACGGTTGTATAACTCTTCTATAGCAGCGGTGATAAACGGAAAACTCGTAACAGAGTTCTTAGCCCTGCCATCGTACTCTTTATATGCCATAGATCATCCACGCCTGTGCGTTAAACAAGTCCCGTTTGTTAGCCTGCGAATACAGCCGTATCACCTCGCACCTTGCCGATAGGAATGTTTCGCAGGAGAGACGTCAACGACAGTAATTCAACACTGATGACGAACAATGTATCCGGAATCTGGTCAGGAGCTATGATTGATCGACGTAGTAATTATATTGTGTACGAATGACAAGCAAACGACCAAAGGTACTACAAAATAGTAATTATTCGTTGAATATATTCTTTTTACCATAACGGAGTGATTTCTCGCCCGCTGATTGGTCGAGAGCTATGTTCGAAAACAGCACAGACGTGGGAATGACGTGATGGTGGCGCAATTTGTTTTTCTCTTGCGCGTGCGATTTTCCGAGAAACTTAACGAAAATGGACGTCTATGAAGCAGTTTTCATATCAAAAATACTATTCACTCTGTAGATTCAATTATGTCTGCTTGTCATTCAATTACTGTTTCTCATCAAGATTCAATTATGTCTTCTTTTCTTTCAATTATGTCCGTTTGTCTTTCAATTATGTCTTCTTGTCATTCAATTTTGTCCGCTTGTTATTTAATTATGTCTGCTTAACCTTCAATTTATCTGTAAATTATGGCGTACGATCCCCGCCAAAAATTCATGAGTTTTATTTTAAATTGCTCATTTAAATTTTCAACTTCAAAACTTTAATTTTACAGCTGAATTCAATATTTTATACTCTTCCTTTAGAGTTCACATCATGACGTCATCATTGTTTATGAAGTACCATGCATATTTTGGCATTATATTAATGTTAACGAAGTAAGTTGGATCACTCAAAAAATCATTACAAAGTGCGATGGAATTACTACAAATTGTGATAGCTTAGTTTATTACAAAGCGCGATGGACTTTACAAATTGCGACAGCTTTTTTATTACAAAGTGCGACACGGTTTATTACAAAGTGCGATGGATTTATTACAAATTGCGACAGGTATTACAAAGTGCGATGATTATTACAAATTGCGACAGTACACCTGGTGGTAACTGGCGAGGCAGTTATTCTTGGGTATATAAGGAATACAATGCAATTACTATGCACACTTCATTCAGGGCCTGTTTGCATGGAGGTGGGGGCTCCCGGGTAGGTGAGGTAACCCTCTTAGGTGGGGTAACCGCCTGTCCATATGATCTTTCATTTTAATTTGATCATGTTTACATGATAGGTGGGGTAACCCAGCACATGTTACCTCACTTACCTGGGGTCCCCCACCTCCATGTAAACGGGCCCTCAGTCAATAGCATCAATTAGCACATAAGATATACTGAAGGTCCTCAATAGGATTCTTCATTCCCGTAATCCGGAGCCCAAATTTCGTGCAATCCCGTAATCCCGATGATTTCCTTTTTTGCTATCCCACCTCTTGCGATACTTTCAATCCCAAATCTCGCCCGGATTTTGCTTTAAAATCCCGAATCTTGAGATTCAAGTAAGAGAAATCCCGGATGGTGAAAAACCAATTGGCGACCCTCTATATTGACATTTTGATTAAAGGAACTTAACAACGAAGCTTGAATAATATATAACAGTTATTCACCGAAGTGGAGGTGGTTAGTCCTGGATATTTACCGAACTGCGAAGCAGTGAGGTAAATATCCACGACTAGCCACCGACACTGAGGTGAATAATTGTTTTAGTATATACTAAAACAGTGAGATAATTGAGCAGAAAAATGACGATTTTTAACTCAAATACTGTTGCCAACGATTACAATTTGGCGCGTAATGACCGGGCGGCCGCGGCCGTCGCTTTTTCTTGCCGACAACTAAAACTTTTGAAGGCATTTGTTTAGCTCTTGCGGGGAAATTTCTTCAAAAGGAGTTGTGAATTCTTTTTGTATTTAAAATCATTCTATAAAAAAAGATTATTAAATTTAGTTTTAAGCTTATTTATGAACAACTCAACTGAATAAAGTAAGCAAGACTTAAGCTTAATTTGCATTTGTAAACAAAAAACTTTTTCACCGGTTTTATCGATAAATTCGTGTCAAAAAGACAAAGCTTTACCTGTTAAAACTTCCAATCCGAACTTCGTCACCTTCTTCGTGTATTTCGGAAACAGCTTGCTTGATTAGTTGTGAAATTTCTTTGTTTGTTTACGGCAGCAAACCGGGAAGGCATTTTGCTTGCAACTTACGCGAGTTTGGCGTCGCTCGCTCCGAGGAACTGGAGGTGAATCAGTGAATAGTGCAGGATATTCACTGATTGAGTAGCCAATCAGAGCGCGCGAAAAACACTATCCACTGTTTTAGTATATACTAAATAGAGTTAGACACTGTATTTGAACTGGATTAATCAAGAAGTAGACATAAATACATGGGTTACTTTGAAATTAATTCAATGTTTAGGAGCGCAGTACACCGTTTGACTTTTTTTTCTCATGACTTGCAACGCGCTTAAAATATGGTTCGAGTTATCGAGGGTAAAATTATATAGAAAAGATCTGAAGGGAAATATAATTAAAATTACTCCGAGTTAGCCGGAAGTTCGAGTTATCGAGGGTTCGTGTTACCGAGGGTGAAATTGCAGTAAATGTATGAAGGAAATCCAGGGGAAATCGATATCAGGAGTCGGCTGTCACTTGAAGATTTTGCTCGTGTTCTAAAAATAATGGACACCGCGGAAAGCTTCATTCTGCTTTTTTCACCAGAAAGGTAGTACGGTTATTTATACTGAAGGGGGTTAAGCCCTCTACCAATCGAAAAGTGATAAAAATCCTTACATTTGATAACTTGTTCCCACCACTAGGACATTCTTGCTAAAACCCGTTGTAGAATGACGACGGCTATCACGTTTTCCCTCCAAAATGAAGCTGACTCACGCGCGCGCAATACTTAGTATTGAGATAATCTCATACTCGTAGTCCCCCTCGTCCTCGAATCTAAAGCTCCCTAATATTAACGAGAGAAGCGCGGGGAAAGCGGAGGGTGATGGATCGTACGCGCTCCCTTCAGTCACGCGCGGCGTGAATACCAGGACTCTATACCACACAACGTTCTAGTCTTACATTAAGACATTTTTGAAAGAAACAAGAAAAAAGGAATTGGAAACGAAAATATCGCGAGTTAATAAAGTGAGTATTCTTTCTCTACCTCTCTCTCTCTCTCTTTTTTCACTCAGCATAGAACATCTGTGAGCAAAAACCATAGACGGACTAAGTATGCGTTCACAAATTTGAACGGTATCCCGAAGTATGCTAACGTCCCAGCTTACTATTCACATGTTAAAATGTATTGTAAGAGGGCACGCCTGTTGTCCTGTCATCCTCGACTCTTCATTTCACTCTTCATTTCATTTGAAGTCCTCACAAAGACTAAACGAAAAAAAAAATGTATCGCTAATACAATAAAACAATACAATCTAGCTACCGCTGCATTGAACCGAAAGGGCGCCCCAGTCGAACAAGGAGGGAGGCACTTACTCGATGGCGGCCCCCTTTCGGTTCAATGTAGCAGAACAATATTGATTTTTGACTTCAAAGTGCGAAGGTCATTTGAGGGCGGCGCTCTTTCGATTGAACGCAATAGAATATTGTGTTTTTCGAAAGAGCGCTTATTTATTTCCCACTGAAATCGAGGGCGGCGCTCTTTCGAGTATGTACGGTTTTGATAGCATTCGATGGTTTTATTACATTTGAGAGCTTTATTACATTTGTGGCTTCAACAGTACAATGTATGTTTTGCTTTAAAGTTCATGCTTTAATACTGCAGCTTATAATAGCGATCTGATTATGGATAATATACGGTATACATACGATAAAAAAACAAAATTTAACAATGTTTTGAATCAAAATGTTAACAAGACAAAGCGAGCAAGGTCGGCATCATTCACAAAAGGGCGATGTTTGTCACACAAGACGATTGAGGACAATTTTCAGCGGAACATAGCGTTGCAACTGTTTCGAATGGTTGCAACATTGTTTCAAAATTGCAACGTTGCGTTACGCTAAAAATGGTCGATGCAAATCGTCCCTTGAAGACAAACAAGGAAGGTGCCTTTATCGCACGCGCTTGTATTCCCTTGTGTCTTTCCTCCCTTCCTGCTCCTCCAAACTTTCATAATTTTGCTCCCAATGTCGTGCATCCTCAAAGCACTACTACATTTGTGATAAAAAGGTTAAAACCGGTCAATTAAAGGCTATCAAAATCTATTGTTTCTTTGGTGTTAAAAATACAGTGAAACCTGTATTAAGCGGACACCCTTGGGGAATGCTGTAGTGTCCGCTTAATACAGGGTGTCCGCCTAATACAGGTTTCGATAGATAAAGTCATACGAGGTGTCAAATGCCATTGAAATGAACAGTGGAAACGTTTCGAATAGTCCCAGAGACTATGACGATATACGTTTGCACTAATTTCTTTATCAAAGTGGACCAGTTTGATCATAGTACCATAAACATAGATTGCAACTCAAAATTGACGAAATGAGATGAGTGAAAGAAGCTCTATACAAACAAAACGAAATAGAAAAGAATACTGTACTGAGAAAATGATCAAATAAGTTCGTCAAGTCACGTTTTTTAATGTAAAAATCGAAAAATTTGTGGGTGACAATTCGAGGCAATCTTTCATATTTCCGGTGTCTAGCATGTTGGGTGGTGGAATTTAATTACAAGTGTCCGTTAAATGCAGGTTGGCAACAATAGAAATGCCCATTTCAGATACTTTTTAGGTGTCCGCGTCCGCTTAATACAGGTGTCCGCTTAATAAAGGTTTCATTTAGAGAAAATAAGGGAAATAAATTTGGGGACTTCGGCTACTGTCCGCTTAATGGAGGGTGTCCGCTTAATATGGTGTCCGCTTAATACAGGTTTCACTGTATTGTTTCTATGGTGTTAAAAATACAATAAAAGGGACGATAATGAGAATCCACCGCATTTTGTTCATGAGATAAAGATGAAAAGCTATGACATCATCGACGTTAATGTAGTACGTTGATGCTCTTATTGGGGAGATTCCTGCCCAAAGAAAAGTTAATTCGGTGCGCCCTGTACTACTTTTCTAACGGGATAAAAGCCTTGACCCCGCATCGACAGTTAGAACTGACAGAAATTACGGGGAAGAGGCACTCAAGAGTTATATACGAGGAGGCTCCACTGAGGTGCCCTATCCCTTACCCTTTTACATGCCATTTTTGGGATAAAAGGTATCCCTTTTACGTAACCTACTCTGTATTATACCTCGATATAAGGAATACCATGTTCACATTAAATAACTTCTAGCGATGTAAATTAATGAAATGACAATACTAGAGGTAACCATGAAATCGTTGGCCCAAAGATATCTATGTCAGTGGCTTTTGTTGGCGAGGTGCCCCATATTAGGCCCACTTATACAGCGCACTGTTGATATTGTATTTGTTATATCTAATTAAATGATTTGCAACTGCTAGGTAAGTATGCCCTTTGTATTGAAAGGACGTCATACCATAAGCTCCCTGGGTTGGAATTTCTTGATATTCAATAAACTTTTCCTGAGAAACTCGATATACCATTGACATGGTGTTGTGCCAGTCGTAGGGATTAAAATGATTAGCCACACCCAGAAAAGTTTGACTGCACATCATAAAGGGATGTAACGCGGCTGCTCCACGAGTAGGAATCGACTGAAATAGAACAAAATGACTGCCATTCCACTTGTAAATGGCAGAATTGATATTGTTTTGCTTATTGTGTCTGTAGTTTGCAAACGCGAGAAAAGTAGAACCGTTGTCACTGAATGACTTTACATCTCGGGCTGCATATGTCTGGAAAGACTGCAGTTTGACAAATTGCTGCCCTGACCACTTGAACACAGCTGACTGAACTAATTCTCGCTTTTTTCCGCTATAATGGTTTGCAAATGCAATGAAAGTTTCATTGCTGATTACAAAGGTCTCACTACTAATAGCCCCCTCGGTTGCTATCTCTTGAACCTTGTCAAATTTATTACTGTTCCATTTGTAGATGAATGAGTTGATACTTTTCGAGGAGTCATTACAATAATTTGAAATGGCAAGAAACTGCTCATTTGTTATTTCGAAGAAGTCAAAACTTTTTGCTCCAAATGTTTCAATGCTTTGAAAGACGACAAATTGTTCCTGACTCAGACTCCACTGGTAAATAACTGAATTCTGTCGGTACGAAGTTTCATCACCATGATTTGCGACAGCCAGGTAATGTTGACCACCAGTTTTAAAATATTCCATGTCAATGCCTCCATGTGTGCCTAAAGTCTGATAAAGGAAAAAATTTCCAGTGGAATCGTTCTGTTTGTAGATGAAAGAGTCGGTGTTAAATCCTTCGGTATCACTTTTAAAGTTTGCGAAGGCGAGAAACCGAGTTCCGTCGATAGTGAAGTGTTCGACATCAGACCCACCTTTGGTTGGTAGATCTTGTTTTTTTTCAAAGTGGTGAAATTTTTGTGAACAGTCTAGCAAGAAAAAATAAATGATTGTGGGTTAATAAAGGATTCACTACAATCAACGCAATGTGCGTGGGTGACCTTACTCCATCTAGCATTTTCAGTTCAGCTTTCATTTCAACGTTGTTTCTTGAAGAGCATTAAGTAGTAGTTTCCTATCAGGAGTATCTCTTTTGCGGTCAGAAGTTTGCGTCAAAACAATGTAAGTGCGTTGTCCATTCGTTTGCTGTAATTCTTTTGCGCTCGCAGTATTTCTGAAGTTTTATTTTCACCTTGTATTTCAGTTAAACCACAACACAACACAACTCAATTAACACATCAAATACGGCAAATTACGGTACATCGGACCTAATGTCAGTCGAGTCTTTGGGGTCAATAGTCTACCATCTTGCTTATTGCTGTAACCCTCGAGGACTCAAATCGGAATAAACTTTTGCGTCTATTGTTAGCGCTGATCGGTAAAAGAAGTCACCTTACGGCAGCTATACACTGTTTGTAGTTTTGTTTTCCATTTTTGCTGTCTGAATCTAGATTCTGTCGTCTTTCACCGAATTTTGTCTCGCTAGTTTTCTACTTTTCAGAAAAGGTTGTTAATGATTGCATTTTAGCTAAATTTTTTATAGCTTTCAATGAGGATGCCTCTATACCGAGCTAGGACTCAGCCAGGACTCGAGCCAGGACTCGAGCCAGGACTTCGAGCGAAGACTCCACGCAGGACTCGCCAATTTTTCGCTCTCCCACCATTTTGACTTCCTGAAAGTCCCATGACCATTAATAGGAGGGTTTTCGTGGAAATCACGGAAGGAAAGCTCGAGTTAGAGTTAGGGTTAGGTTAAGTTAGGTTATGGTTAGGAGGTTACCAGTTAGGTTAGAAATCCTTTTTATTGCGTTTATTTTACTTTTTTAAAGCTAATTATTTTTATTTATTTATAGTCAAAACCTTAAGATTGGTATCTGAAATTAGTTCTTTTTATAAAGCCTTGTGCAGTTTTCATCCCGCTCGATTGAACTAATCTTAAATTAATAATTTAACCAAAGAAAATCTTTGCTGTTTTTTTTTTCCTGTGGCTTTTAATATCAAGTTCGTCAATACTTTTGTCTTTGGTTGACACTCAGATTATTAATTGTCTACCAAGACACAAAAACTTTTCTTTATTCTGAAAGAGCTCAGAGCTGAATTGTGATAATATAAATTACAAGCTAAAAATCACGTTGTATGTTTTGTTTTGGTTTGCAATCGATCGCGCGCTTCATCAACACGAACGCGTTCTACTTCAACATACATAAGTTGGAGGCTGAAGTAAAATTTTCCAGAAACTTTTAAATGTCAATAGGAAATATAACAATGTTATTCACCGGCCTTGGTCGATCCTTATTGGGAGAAACTGTGCCCTCGGTTTGAGTACCTCCCTCGGCCTACGGCCTAGGGTGATACTTAAGACCTAGGACAGTTTCTCCCAATACGGATCGACCAAGGCCGGTGAATAACATATATACATCCCCAAAATATTTCCCGTTTCCCATCCCCTTTCTTTGCTAAAATTTGCGGAAAACTAGTCCAAGTACTAAAATTCTGCAAAGCAAGGGTTAAACTTTGTCTACCGTAATCGCAGTCAGGATCATGGCAGGATCTTATGTTCAGTTGATAATTATGCATAATTTTGGTAAATTTCAACCTGCTATGTTAGCCCTGATAATTTGGCAAAGGCATGTAGCTTTTTGTTTTAGTTTTGGCCTTGGATTTCATTGTTTGCATACCATCTCGAATACCTGCATATTTTGGGTAAATATCGTTCCTACATTGGCTCAACAAACCACCTGAAAATTCCCTCACAGAATAAAATATTCTACAATAAAGAAACAGAAAACAGCCTTGCCGGCAGTCGAACCTAGTTCATCTGCACGTGCATGCAAATCCTTGACCATTGCACCATTGTGCCACTCAGTTTTTGGTGAAGTGAGTTTGTTCCGGGTGGGGTACTCCCTATAACAGTGACGGGGGTGCTCGTCGTACCTTATAGGGGTTAAATTTGTGAATTGGTACCGCTTAGGGTGCTAAAACCTTAAATGACTGATTAGGATAAAGATTTATGACAATATTTTCAAAAAGTCCTTGAGAAGAAACTGTTCGAAAGTTATCTTTTTTACTATTGAAATTTGCAGCGCCAGTTATATAATTTGTTGTTGTTGAATTGGTACCTCTTAGGAGTGGAAATGAATTTGGGACACGCCCATAAAACAAGATTCTGGTACCTTTAAGGAGTGTTCTCAAAAATTTTCGACGAGCACCCCTGTCACTTTTATAGGCGAGTACCCCCCCCCCC